TATGATGCACGATCCTCGCAGTAGATAGCGCTATTTAAGCAATAGCGAAAATCAGACCTGAAAAAAATCAGGCCTGTACGGGACTCAAACCACTGACCTCTGCGATACTAGTGCAGCGCTCTACCAATTGAGCTAACACGCCAACTGGGAGCAGGCCGTTAAGTTGATTCGTAATAAACCCGTACAGGCCTGATTTTTTTCATTAATGAACACCTTGTTCATTAATTTAATTGAAAATTGCTTAATCAATTAACTTGTGATTAAAGAGAAATTGAAACAAATAAAATACTTTGTTGAATATGAAGCTTTTGTGGTTCGAGTATATATTGAAAGACAAGAACTGATCTCTTTATTGACTTGTTCACTAGTAGTAGATAATAACAATAGAAGAAAACAACAAATAAATATATATTCAGTTTAATAGCAATGTCTTTAAAAAATATAACTAGAATTATAAAAAAAAAATTGGCGCATGCGTATTTCGGGCGCCGTATTTTTCCAAGTTTTTTTGGCGGGAAAATTCGCCACAATTGAACAGATGTTGATTGCAGAGTAAGTAAAGAAAAATGGCGCGTGCGTAGTATAAGCGCCCGTTTTTGCCTAAGTTTTTCGGCGGGAAATTATTTCATATCAAACATCCCTTAACATGAATTGAACCAATAGAAATCAAGAGATAACAACTTTTCGACCCTCAATTTTGGCGTTTAAATCTGTCTAGCAAAATTGTTAAAAGGAAGTGTGCTGCATCTGCTTTGTACCTGAATAAAATCATGTATTTTACTTGGATCATAGTAGTCTTTCTTATTTCAACTGTGCTTCAAGCGTCGGGGATATTCAACAGTCAGTCTGTAAAAAAATGAAAATAAACCGTAAATTATCAATTACTTTAGAATTTAAACCTTACTTTAATTTTCTTAAGTGATAATAGTCCAGTGTCGGTATTATCGCACCAAAAATTAATTGGTAATGTTAGACCAGTAAAATTCAGTATTTTAATATTTTATTAATGTGTGACTATACAAATTAACTAAAGCGAGATCTGAATGTAAAGATAAAAAGAAAACGATCACTGATGAATATCCTACTAAAATTGAGGAATTCTGTCCTAGCTGTTCTTGTCAAAGTGACTTTAAGTTAGATTTCAGATTTAAAATTTTTACTTGCTTGAATTCAAGGATTGAGAGCGTAATATTAAAGGTTCAAACCCTTTCATTTTGAGCCGAGGATTTTTCGTCCTAAGTCAACCCACCAAAAATATTTGATCTATACTCGCCAGTGATTCCTCTGAGATCACGAAGGAATCCTCGTGCTTTAGTTGCATAAATTTAGTTGCTGCTCGCTTAAATCGTACCTCAAATCATTCGCGAAATCCTTATTAATGAGATGTTCAAGTTTAACGAGAAATTCAAACAATGAGCAGAATCGGAATATTTCTGCAAGCTTGTGTTCGAAACGAACCCTCAAAGAACCATGGTGATAGAAATAGAAGCATTGTAATGTTCCTCCTGGCGCGTAAAAGTCGAGTCAGTTCAGACTTGAATAACAATGAAAATGGCCGAGCAGCGTTTTTTCAAGAATGTATTGAAATTATTTTTGTAAAAGTTTTGAAATCAAGCCACGTATATCTTTCATAAATCTGTTCCCGATAAACATCTCTAAATTAATCAACTTAAAACTGGAGCTCTTTGGTGGCCTACCATTGTTAAGTAAAGCTATTTTAGGGTTACCGAGATTTGGATTAAGGTGCTCTTAAATACTTTACAGTTTCTGTGCTTTGGTAAAAAAGTACAACCTGCAAAGGAAGTCGGACTCAAATATTTTTTTGGAATGTTTTAAACTTTTTTCCAAATATTTCTCTGGATGCTTTTTCGAGATAGAATATCTTTAAGCCGGCCAACTGTACTTGTATCTGGCATAGGAATTGGCTGGAAAACACACAGTGAATTCAATTAACCTGTAAACCGATTTCTCCAAACAATTTGTACCCTACAATAAGATATTTTTAGAAGCAAATGGTACTTTTCTTTTTCTTAACCAAATGAACTCACCAAGCTCCCGATGTTCCCTACTGAAAGTTAAAAATCACGGAGGTTTAAGAATGACTGAACTGAATTCCTCGTGGTATTTCAATTTGCTCCCAGCTTCACGAGCTTCGATATTGATAGTTAGGTTCCACATTGTCTCTAGTATCAGTTGATGATAAACTTTAAAAGCACTTGGAGATACGAATATCAAGTTTAAGAGCACTCAATTTTAATTTGGTTTCCGCTCAAGAGCTCAGACATTACTAATAATTGTGCTCCAAGATTTTTGTTGAATCACGATTAAATAATTTGTACTAGTATGAGCTGATGATGACTTAAAATAAATTAGATAAACAAGTATCGATATTGGAATAATAGAGATGATAAAATTACGGTGGATTTATGTAAAATTATTGGTATAGCATCTATCAACAAATCACTGGATCAAAAAATAGCTGAATGCAGAACATTGTAGTAAATGAAGAACTGAAAGATGAAAATGCAAAATTTAAATTTGAAAATCGTAAAATGAAAAATGAAAAATGGAGAAATGGAAGTTAAGTGCATATGGAGGGAAAGCCACTTTTAAAGGAAATCTTAACGATAAGACGGCGACTGAAGAACGAAAATCTCTTTAATGAATATATAACAAAATTCAAGAGTTGTTTACGAGAAACTAATATAGGATTAAAGGGAATACAACTTCTATCGTAAAAAAAAGATCGGATTCATTAATTTACTTTGGAAGAATCTTTCGATATAGCTATAGTCAAGTAATTTCAACAACAACAAAAAAATCTACACATGAAAATTGCTTCAGGAATGGAGTCTGACAGCTATTACTCAAACTCCAAATTGACTTAGTTACTGAGTGAGTGGGTAAACGTTACATTAGGATTTTTCGATGAACAAAAGCTTGTACAAAACCCAAACAACTTTTCAATTCATCTGAAACTTTTCTACCCCTGCCGAACAAAGTCTCCTGAATCCTTGAGCCTGAAATCTCGAATGTCGATTCTTATTTCCTATCGTTGCGCATTCATTTAGTGGAGACACACACTCTTCAATTGCTTTCTATATTCTGTCTCTATTCATTTTCAAGTATCTAATAAGCTGGTACAATCATCTTACTTGCCTAGACTTTCACATCATCCAGTAATCCTACAGTTATATCACTAACATTAGTACAAGTACTTTTATTATGTTCCCAATACCCTACACCTATCTAAAGATATATGTGTATATTGTGTACATGTATGTACTTGGATGAATTACGTTTTTGCCAAAAGATAAAGAAGAAAAAAAGACAAAAGACAAAGGAAAAACGGATGAAGAATTATTACAAGATGAATAAACGATTGAAAGAAGCTGAAAAAAGAAGTAACTTGTAAGTTTCAAATATGATTTTAGAGCAATCAACTCTTGTTATGTTAGTTGTGTGAGAAGTAATAGTATTGTTAATGACGTTGATAATGGAATTTAATGTACAATAATGCTAAAAAAGCTCGGTGTATTCGATATAAAAAAATTCAGTAATTTTTAACATGCTCTGGTTCCAGCCTCAAGAGCTCAGAATTAAAAAAATTAGGCTTTAAGGTTTCTATTGCATCATGTCAAAGAGAGTATTGTAATATGCAGATGATGAAAAACTCTAAAAGCAATTTGATACATAAAAACCAATTTTTGAGCTAACTGTTAAATTCGGTTGTGGTCGAGTTCAAGAGCTGAAACGTCTTTAATGATTAACCGTCTTTAATGATTAACCGCCTCCCAGTTAGCTCAATTGGTTAGAGCGTTGGAATGTTGTGCGGGAGGTCGAGGGTTCGAACCCTGGCCGGACCAACACTCATGGTCTTAAAATAACTGAGGAGAATGTGCCATAATATCAAGAAATTAATAGACATTCTAGTCTTCTCGGATAAGGACGAATAAACCGTAGGTCCCGTCTCCTGCATCTATTAATCAGATAATTTGATNAATTATTAATTATTAACTGATGATTGAAATTTAACCCCGATATCTGGAAGCCCCACTAACTCGAACCACTTCTCGTTTACTATGGAATATCGAGTAAGCGGGGATGTACTGTATGACAAGACAAATAAAATTCTCCCAACCTTTCAAATCTCTTTTATTTATTATTTTTTTTACCCCTTATCATTCTTAACTCTTAGGACTACTGCAGCTCGATGCAAGGTGCGGCTAGTCTCTTAGTCAATTCAACTCGGTGCCCAAGGTTGCTTTCTCTTCGTGTAACAGCACTTTTAGTTCGTGTTGTGTATTTCTAATCTTGTTTTTGGGCCATGAAAGGGTGACAAAGCGTTAATTTCCTTATGTTTTTCTCGTTCACCGGTAAATTACATTGCGTCGTCATCATCTCTGTTACGCTTTGATGCCTTACATATTTTTTAATATCAGTCTATAAAAGGAGCTCTTTTCAAGTTTCAGAGTGATTTCCTAGTTGCTCAATAATTCCTAAAATTTAGTAGCTGTGAATTTAATTTTGTCCTCTTGTCTCATGCCAATCTGTTACGCACGATGCCTTTCATTTGGCTTGGTTCTTGATTTGCTGGCTGAGCGTCACGGTGCAAACAGAACTACGCGCCAAATTCGTGACGTAGCAGCCGATTATTGGGTGCAATCGTTAATCCATAGTCATCAGAAGTTGCGGAATTTTCAGCAAACCACGCTGTCCATTGTACAGAGAAGACATGTTGTTCGTCATGCTAAACTCAACGTTGTATTCTGGAAGGAAGATGGCACTGAATCTGTAAAGAAGAACAAGGGAGAACTCTTATGTCACCATACAACAGCAGGTGAGCATTGCCATCGGAAAATATCACCTTAAGCTTTTTAGAGATCTAAACGAGGCTAAACTATCTCAGATCAAGACGCAGCAAGAATCGGTCGCTTGGTCTAAACGGCTTTTCAACCGAAATTAGACAGAATTAGGGTGTGCGTCGGCTTAGAGAAAAGCGGAGCCAACGATTGGAAAATGTTTTTGATGAAACGCTAGAATAGAGATTTTTTTTGCTTGCTCAGTCTATGTGAGACTTCAGCATTTCTTATTTGAATGAAGCCACCCCGGTGGTGCAATAACTCATCTGCTGAGTGACCTATGCTTTATCGTCAATCAGACATTTAAACAAGTTTTGATGCTTTCACGTTTTCTATAATGGTGTCAAAAAGAAAACAAATATAGTCACATGAAATTTAATTTTTTACTTTTCGTCTTCATGGAAAGTGAGCATTCCCTCATCACAGTCACATCTACTTTCAGGAAGAGGAATTTTGTCACAAGGATGGAAGAACAAAGATTCTGGTCAAGAGAAGAAACCAGAATCAGGGAGGTTTTTTAGTGGATAATGCAAAAATAAGAACTTTGAAATTATCAAGTAAACTTAAAAAATGGCGGCTCCTTGTGTGTCTAATTGTTGTACTACATGGTAAGTGAACAGTTCTTAATTAGCCACCATTTTTGGAATAGTTTGTTGTGTTACGGATTGTACTGCAGACCCTGAGCGATCCCTTGATTTATTTGAACTGCCAGCTAGGATCTGGGTAATTTTTCTCAGATATTCCCGTTGCACCGAGTTAAGAAAGATAACAGCGGAAACTGAAATAATCTTAGCTACGGAATGCAACACTTAAAATGATCAATTTCAAAGCTCCAATCGCTCATTTGTTTTGGTTTGTGTAACAGTTGGTATCAAAGTTACAGGACACAAAGGCGATATAAAAATGGCAGTCTACCAAAATAGTTCAGCCGGACAAAGACTAAATGGAATTCAAAATTGATTTTTGAATCTTTCTCGTTCGGACGATCATACTACACCATTAACAACTGAATGGTACCGAAATAAAGTTAGCCATAAGAATACCGATTCAATTCATTCTTGACATGAAATGTATCTCAGTTGAATTGGAAATTTAGAAAACTTTCATTCAAAAAAGGAAGGATTTGTTTTTTCATACACTAAGCAACAATTTAATTAAGTGCCATCTTCCATTATACTAATTACTTTGTGCCATCAACTGAGTTCGGTTTCCATTTGGTAGTGAAATATATCAGTTTTAAAACTCTCATGCCTGGTCACAAGCTCTTTCAAGAACCTGATCAAGTTGAAATTTCACGTAAACCAGTTCACATTGAACATGGTTTACGACGGAGATATGTAGATGACCGGTTAACGACGGAGATATGTAGATGATTTTCACAGCTCGTGAAAAGTTTATTCGATAGAAACGAGGATGGTGAATTGTTTAGCAAATTAAAACGTTGATAGACAGTGAAGAGATTGGACAAAAATCATTGTAAACATATGATCCAGTCTTTTGACCAATGAACTATAACTAGTTCTCTTGGCGAAAATTCTTTGTCGTTGAAGAGAATAATTGCCTCGCTCGAACAAGAAAATAACACTCTAACTAGCTCATCACGTTCTTAAACTTTGCCGGTTAAACACGTTAATTCCAGACGAGGGAATCAGAAGTGCAAATCAAACAATATTCGGCAGAGGATTTGACAGTTAACCAAATCAAACCCGTTGTCATGTTTTCTCGTTCAGTACTGTCATTTAAATTGTTGACGAGTTTCATAGGAATTTAAAAAAAAAAATAGAACTTTTTTTTCCTTTAGAAATGAAATGTGTACCGAAAACACGTTGATCTTGCCCTCAAACTGAAACGCAAACCAAAAACGCCAATTTGGTTATATTCAAATTACAGTTTATGGAAAATAAAGGAGTCAAATGTGTTTTCGCTTTGAAAAGAAAGAAATTTTGATTTCTTTACCACGACGGTTATCAATCTGCTGGTTTTTGTCAAATTGTTTATTAAATACGAACTGTTTACGTAGTCCACAAAACTTGTAAATTAGCTGATTTTGCGTTGGAAAAAAAGGATCAGTTGTTACACTTTGGACCAGGCATTTGGTTTTAATCTATATTGTTGTTAGTTTACTCACTCCTTATTATGAGTGGAAAGACCGCCTCCCGGTTAGCTCAATTGGTTAGAGCGCCGGACTGTGTTGTGCAGGAGGTCGAGGGTTCGAGTCCCGGCCGGACCGATACTCATGGTCTTAAAATAAGTAAGGAGAATTTGCTACCTTTCTATAATAAAAAAATGGATAGATAGATATTCTAGTCTTCTCGGATAAGGACGAATAAACCA